TACAGTAAGAAGATTAGCTAGGAGACAGGAGACAGACAAAGAAGATAATAATCAAGATAATGAAGAGGATGCGCTGCAATCATTATGTACAGATCTAAGTAGCTTCGCTCCTATCCCTCCCATACCCTTTGAATATTCTTTTACCCAGTTGTTAGAAGAAGATGCTTGGCTTGAAGATATAAGCATAGGACAACAGCAGCAACTTGTTCAAGAACAAGTAAAAGAAAAAGATAATGAGAAGCATATCGTCTTAACGGGGCAGCAAAGGAGACAGATACAGGAGGGGCCTGTCCCTTCTACTAGCACTTCTTCAGTTGCTGCCTATTTACAAACACCACAGACAACACAAACGAGAGAAGAAGAAGCAAAGAAAGAACAAGAAGAAGAAGAAGAAGAAGAAGAAGAAGAAGAAGAAGAAGTTGTTGATGATGATGATGATGAAGAGTATCTCCCTCCAGCTAAAAAGCAAAGGGGACAGTTAGGGATAAGGAAGCGGAGACAGTTAATTGAGAAGCCGCTGTCTTCTAGAAGAACTGCTGCTGCTGCTCGCTTGCAAACACCACAGACATCAAAAGGCAGAGGAAGAGTAGCAGCAGCAGCAGCAGCAGCAGCAGAAGAAGAAGAAGAGACAGAAGAAGAAGAGACAGAAGAAGAAGAGACAGAAGAAGAAGAGACAGAAGAAGAAGAAGAGGTTCGTCGGCCTGCACCAAGGAAGCAAAGGAGACACAAGGAGTTAAAGGCTTCAGGGGTTTTAGTTGAAGTGCCTCTGCCTTACAGCAGCATACCTTCAATTAGTGCTCTCTTGGAAGCATCACATACATCAGAGAAGAGCGAAGGAGGACGACAAACTGTAGAAGGACATGAGCATGCACGTCAGTCTGTCTTAAGATATGTAGAAGAAACACTAACAGGCAAGAGTGAAGGTTTAAAAGCAGAAGATGAAGATGAAAACCTCTTTAATATATGGCTGGGGGAGCTCGAGTTAGAAGAAATCCATATGGCAGACCTAATTCGGAGTGAGCCTGCTGCTAGTGCTGCAGCAGAAGCAGCACGCGCAGCAGAAAGAGCAGCAGCAGCAGCAGCTGCTGCTGCTGCTGGTGCTGGTGCTGCAGCAGCTGGTGCTGCTGCAGCAGCTGGTGCTGGTGCTGCAGCAGCTGGTGCTGGTGCTGCAGCAGCTGGTGCTGCTGCAGCAGCTGGTGCTGCTGCAACATGGGGACGGAGAGAAGAAGGTACAGATGCAGAGACAGAGTCAATAGCAGAATCAGCAGCAGAGACAGAGACAGCAGCAGAATCAACAGCAGATACAGAGACAGCATCAGAGGCAGTAGCAGAGATAGAGACAATAGCAGCAGAATCAGCAGCAGATATAGATACAGCAGCAGAATCAACAGCAGAGACAGAGACAGCATCAGAGGCAGCAGCAGAGATAGAGACAATAGCAGAATCAATAGCAGATACAGAGGCAGCAGCAGAATCAATAGCAGATCCAGAGACAGCAGCAGAATCAATAGCAGATACAGAGACAGCAGCAGAATCAACAGCAGAGACAGAGACAGCATCAGAGGCAGCAGCAGAGACAGAGACAGCATCAGAGGCAGCAGCAGAGACAGAAGACACAGAGGTGGTGCATTTGCTTGTAGGAGACATATCAGGAGACAGTTCTTCTCCCCTTTCAATAATGGAGACACCAGAAGCAGCAGCAGCAGCACCAGCACCAGCAGAATCAGCAGCAGCAGCAGAATCAGCAGCAGAATCACTAGCAGCAACAGCAGCAGGAGCAGCAGCAGAGGTGCTGTCTGCAGGAGCCGCAGCAGCAGCGCAACCTTCTAAACCCCCGGGGCCCCCTCACGGTGTAATTATTATACATCCTTCAGTGTCTCAGTCTGAAGCAACAGACGAAGAAAAAAGAATACGGGCAGGAGCAACCTCAAAGAGAAGGAGAAGGACGCCTCGATATCTAGCTTATTTAGTTCAGACGCCTACTACCTATCTTCTTTGGAGTCAAGAGATCGAAGACTTCCTGGTGAGGCTGCTGCTGCTGCTGCTGCTGCTGCTGCTTCTGCTGCTGCTGCTTCTGCTGCTGCTGCTGCTGCTGTTGCTGTAGAAACAAACAAAACGAAAGAAGAAAACTAATTATGCTGCAGCAAAAGAAGAATATACAAATATACAAATAAATATGCATTGACACACAAATATACAAACACAAACAGACAGAAAAACAAACAAGCAGACAAACAAACAAACAAACAAACAAACAAACAAACAAACAAACAAATAAATAAATAAATAAATAAGTAAAGAAATAAGTAAATAAATAATAAATATAAAAGCGTGAAGTTGTTTGGTGTAGGATGTCTAAGAAACAGCAGAAGATATAATAATATGAAGATTATTAATTTTCTTTTTTTTAAATTTGTTTGTGTCTCCTTTTTTTATTTTTTTTATTATACACCTTCTTCTTTATATTTTGTTGCTTGCTGTTTGCACTGCCTATACACCTGAATGATTGATTATTCTTTTTGTTATTTTGATATTTTTTAGGGACATTCAGCTATTTTTCTCGCTTCTGTACCTCTTCAACAGATGCCGCAGCAGGAAGAGCAGCAGCAGCAGCAGCAGCAGCAGCAGCAGCAGTATGAGGAGGAGGGGCAGCAGCAGCAGCAGCAATACGAGCAGCAACTACGTCGGCGTATGAACCTTAAGACACATCCATTTTATAGACTTCCTGAAGTTGAAAAGGATGCAAAAGTAAGACCATTTCAAAGAAAGGGCTGGGTATTAACAGGAAGAAGAACAATGACAGAGACGAACTCAGCAATAGCAATAAAAAATATCTTAAAAAAGCCTGTTGTATCCTCTACAGATTTGCTTGCTCTCATGCAGAATCTTGAGCAGTTAGTAGAGCACTTTGTACATAAAAGAAAAGAAAAAGTAGACGCCGTAAGCCCTAAATATGCTGTAGAGAAGCTAGGTTTCGCGTTAGTTTTAACAGATACAGTTTTTGCTGCAAGTGAAGTACTTGGTGCAGCAGCAAGAAGACATGAGTGGCTTCATTATGTATTAGATGCTATTCCTGTGTATGATAGACCGACAGCTGCTGCTTCAGTACGTATCTCAGCTCAGCATAATATTTTATTAGCTAGATTGCTTAAAACAGCTATACAATTCTATGAGAAAGAGAGAAGACCCCCTGCTGCTCTCTTAGTGCCTCTTAAACAAATTATTTTATGTACACCTGCAATACCTACACTCAATAGAAAGCCCTGGATTTTCTATCGTAGGGATGATAATGAGTGGCAGCAGCAGCAAGTACAAGCTGAGTAATTATTTTGCTGAAGTTTAAAGCCTATTGATATTATCATATCAATACACAAGCAATTCATACAAAACTTTATTATCAACATATACATATACATATACATATATCTATATCTATATATATATATATATATGTATATATATTTCTTTACAGTATTTAAATAATATTTAATTATGTTAAATATTATTTAATTAATATACTAATTAAACATACAAAGAAATATATATATCACCCCCTAGCGTTATAAAGGCGCTCTGCTGCCTCCTAAACAAGTAGAGGAGACAGCAATTGATTAATAAATTAATTGCTGTCTCCTCTACTTGTAATTAATTAGTTAATTAATTAATTAATTAATTCTTTTCTTTTTACTGTCAGCCTCAACTGCGAGCCTTTGGCAGCAGAGTTATACTACTCGCGCCTGAAGCGAAATATAAATATAAACAAATATAATTATGTGTCTCCTTTGTCTGTCTCTGTCTTCTATTCAACTCATTATTATTCTCTTGTCATTAAGGCTGTAGCAGCAGCTAGGCCTCTTAGCTATCAATAGGACAGATAAAAAGCTGCAGCAGCAAGAGATAGAGTAACAGCAGCAGCAGCAGCAGCAACAGCAGCAGCAGGAGATGGAGTAGCAGCAGGAGCTAGAGTACCGCCAGCAGCAGTTGGAATAGCAGCATCAACAACAGCAGCAGCAAGCGCTGGAATAGTAGCAGCAGCAGCAGCAGCAGCAGCAGCAGCAAGAGTTGACTTGCAACAGCAGCAGCACCAGCAGCATTAAAGAGGTCGTATCATGCAGGCATGAGGCCACCATCTGCAGCAGATTATGGAGATAGCAGCAGTAGCAGCAGCAGCAGCAGCAGCAACAACAGCTGCAAGCCATTCAGACAACTCTAGTTAGGGTTTAGGCTTTCGCGTCTAGGGTTTAGGGTTTAGATGAGCTCTCACCCCAATGCCTGGGGGCCCCCTTTACAGCTCATATTATTAATACTTCATGACAAACAGAATTCGGCTGTCTTGGCATAAACAATCAAAATAACACCTAACTGCTGCAGCAGCAGCTGCTGCAGGGGTTAGGGGAGCACCGGCTATGGTGCAGCTGCTTGCTGATGTGTTGCTGTAGTAGCAGGAGCAGCATCTGCAGCAGTAGCAGCATCTGCTGCTACGGATGCTGCCTTTTCTGCTGCTGCTGCATGTCCATCGGCACCGGTAGGAGCAGTAGGAGCAGCAGCAGCAGCAGCAGCAGCAGCAGCATTTGGGTTCGAAGCCACTTCCTTTTTTTGTGTTGACTCTGATCCCAAATCGAAGCTGCGTTTGCGCTTATTGTGCTGCTGCTGCTGTTGTTGTTGCTGTTGCTGTTGCTGTTGCTGCTGTTGCTGCTGCTCCTGCTGTTTGAGCTGCAGCTGCTTCTGCTGCAGCGGAGCTAATGCACACATTTGAGGGTCTAGAGACAGGGTGCGCGTTACCTGCAGCCAGCAGCGCTGCCAATCAGATAACGCAGCAGCATCTAAACGAAGAGCAGCAGAAGAGACAGCAGGCTGACTGATAGACCGCAAGAAAGAACGACATACAGACACCTGAAATACAAACAAAAACAAAAAAAATTCAATCGCTGCATGCATATAACTGAGGCAGATATAAACAAAGATAAACAGATAGTAATATGTACAGAAGATATATGTATAATATATATATATATATATATATATATATATGGATGCATCATACACACACGTATGCATAGCATATATAAACAAAAATATACATACACATATATATGCATACATACATATAAACATGTATATATATATGTATATATGTATATATATACATATATATGATCATAAATACATATATGCCTATATACATATGAATGCATATATGTCTACGTATATAAATATATATATATATATATATATCTGCATACACCTACACAATATATATATATATATATATATGTTATATATCTATGTATATATGTTATATATATACAATATATGTTATATATATAATATATACATATATATTATATAGATAGGGTGTATGTATGAGGGTGTTCGGTGTATCGTACAGCAGTTTCGGTGTTGAGTGCTAAATTTGTTTGGTCTAAATATCGGGTAATCCAAGGCGGCAATTTATTGCGTTTGTCTGGACGAGAGAAGCGTGCATCAGCAAATATCATCAATGCGAAGTCTCTCTTTGAACGGATGACACGGCCTACGCATTGAGCCGCCTGTACATATATACACAAACAAACACATTGTTATGCAGTTCTTTACTCTTAAAAACATCTCTAATGACCCTTTATAACACTTCAGCATCCTTAGAAACCCTTACAAACAATTCATACACCCTTTATAACTCCTAATAACCCTTAACAACCCTTAAAAACCCTTCATAAACCCTTCATAAACCCTTTATAACTCCTAATAACCCTTATCAACCCTTCATAAACCCTTCATAAACCCTTCATAAACCCTTAGAAACAATTCATAACCCTTAGCAACCCTTCATAACCCTTCATAAACCCTTTATAAACCCTTCATAAACCCTTCATAAACCCTTCATAAACCCTTCATAAACCCTTAGTAACAATTCATAAACCTTAATAGACCTTAATCACCCTTACTAACCCTTAATAACCCCTAATAACCCTTAATAACCCTTAACCCTAAATCCTAAACCCTAAACCCTAAACCCTAAATATTATCCCCTGAACCCTAAACCCCTGAACCCTATACCCTAAAGCCTATGCTTGCTTTGCATACAGAAGATGCAACAGGAACTAACGCAGCAGCAGCAGCAGCAGCAAAGACAGCAGCAGACGGAGCAGCATACGCAGCAGCAAGCCAAGCACAGCAACAATGACACCTGCAACAGCAGCAGCAGCAGCAACAGCAACAGCAACAGCAGCAGCAGCAGCAGCACCGCGCGTTACCTGACGCATCGCGTCGAAGGTTAAGAATTCACTTTCTTGGATTTGATACCGCTCCTACCAGCAAAAACCACAAACCCTAAACCCTATACCCTAAACCCTAAACCCTAAACCCCAAACCCCAAACCCTGAACCTACTTCTTGACCGAGAGCCGGATACCCTAACCGTAAACCCTAAACCCTGAACCCTGAATCATCGAAATTCGAGCGAGCGTTGCGCCTCGACCCCTCAACCCTAAACCCTAAACCCTAAACCCTAAACCCTAGCTGACCCTCAGGAAGTCCAGCCTGGCTTTTAAAACCCTAGACAAGGCGTATTGAAAAGGAATCCCAAATAACACCACACAGCGCCCAAAGTGGCGATCAAAGTCGACGCCTTCTGCCACCTTGCCCCTAATCACACAAACCCTAAACCCTAAACCCTAAACCCTAAACCCTAAACCCTTAATACCCCTAAACCCTTAATACCCCTAAACCCTTAATACCCCTAAACCCTACATTGCTACAATGGGTTGCTGCGCCCTGATGCGACCCAGTGCAGGTTTTCTGGCTGCTCTTTTCTAACCCTGAAGTGCACCCAAACCTCCAAACCCTAAACCCTAAACCCTAAACCCTTAATACCCCTAAACCCTACCTTGCAACCGAAAAGAAAACTGCCCCTCTGCCGCAGTCGCAGGCTTTCTTAAAGTTATAAAGTGCAAGGGTTGTAGTCACGACATCTTTGGTTTCTAAGAACACCAACTTATGCTCTAGCACTTGAGCTAGAAACCCGTTCTCGTACCTGCACATACACCCCAAACCCTAAACCCTAAACCCTTAATAGCCTTAAACCCTAAAGCCCCAGGCGAGCGCCCACAGATCGCCGCTCAGGATTCAACGATTAGGACGGCCTGCAATCCGAAAAGCGGCTAACATGAGCCTCATGACCAACGGACCCTAAACCCTAAACCCTAAACCCTAAATTGATTCCCTGCAATTACGAAGCTGCCTTAAGCCGTAAGAACTAAACTTGAATATCCTGTGTGTTTGTAAGCACATGGCTTTCCCTCAGGCTGTCAGCACGCCAGCCGGGACCTAAACCCTAAACCCTAAACCCTAAACCCTAAACCCTAAACCCTCACCAGTAAGACATGGCGGTCTCCATGTAGGCATATGAAGGAAAGAAACAAACTAAACCATCAGGCACTGCTTTGCACAAATCAAGAAGAAGATTTGCGTAGTTGCGCAGCACGCTAACGTCGTGGCGGTACTCGAATTTGGATGTCAAGGGCACCTAAACACAAACCCTAAACCCTAAACCCTAAACCCTTACCAGTACGACTCACACCACGTTAAAAGGTGGGCGCCGCTCCCGCGCAACCCTCACGTCGTCACCCCTCCGCTTGTGCTGAACTCTTAGTTAGGGTTTAGCTAGGGTTTAGGGTTTTAGGCCACCTAGGGTTTAGGGTTTTATATTAGCTAGGGCTTAGGGTTTAGCTGCGGTTGCTTGCCTGGTCTGCGCCTCGAGCAACAATCATCGGGCAGAAGCACGCTCGCTCCATGGAGACAGGAAAAGACTCTGCAATGAGCGGCTGAGTCACACCCCCAAAAACCCTAAACCCTAAACCCTAAACCCTAAACCCTAAACCCTCCGCTTGGAGTATCGGCATGGCCTGGTGCTGCAGCGCAGCAGCTCGGAGGTTTTGTGGTTGCGAAGGGGCTGTTCAGGGTTTGGTGTTTCTCTAGGGTTTAGGGTTTAGGGTTTATATCCAAGGCAAGGGCACTGTGTTATCTCTGAGGGTTTAGGGTTAATGATATTTGTTGTGGTTAAGGGTTTAGGGTTTAGGATGCACAACGACTGCAAGAAAAGGTGTTGTTGCGCCCCTCGCTCAGGGTTTAAGGTTTAGGGTTTAGGGTTTAGGGTTTAGGGTTTACAACGAAGGCAAGTATCTTCGGATATAATTCAAGAGGAGATATTGTCCCAGATGTAAGAATAACTGTATTAAACCGACGAAGAACAGGCTGCATAGCTAGCGATGCATCTAAACAACATAATTGCAATAAGGGGTCGTGCAAGCCCGAAGCCTCCGGGTAAGGGTCCACTATCACTATAAACCCGTCCCTGATACGCAAACCCTAAACCCTAAACCACAAACCCTAAACCACAAACCCTATACCACAAACCCTATACCACACACACTGAATCCTAAACCCTAAATACTGAACCCTAAACCCTGAACCCTAAACCCGAGCCTCTAAACCCTAAACCATACACCCTAAACCCTAAACCCTAAACCCTAAAGACGAAAAGGTAAGTAAGCCCTATTCCAAGGGATACACCACGAAAGAGAAACACTATAGCAGAATAATAATCCGTGGGCCGACGCAATGCTAGGGTTTAGGGTTTAGGGTTTAGGGTTTAGGGTTTACCAGTAGGTGCCCACGAGAGTACAGAAGTCTGCAACAAGAGTTAAAGGGAGCAGCCTCTCTAAATCTGTAACTTGAAGAGCCAGCAGCAACGCCTATGAAAACAAAATAAACAAAAACAAACAAATCATCAAAACAAATATAATATAATAAAGGTAAGAGAATAATATACACATAATATAATATATGATATATTATATATAATATACAATGCATGAAATATATTATTATACACATTATATATTATATATTATATATAATATATAATATATAGTATATAATATATAATATAATATATAATCTATAGTATATAATATATAATATATAATATATAATATATAATATATAATATATTATATATAATATATACAATATAT